CGACCTGGGAGCTTTAGAAACTAATGACTAATGACCCTAGTCAAGAACTGAATCCATGACCTTCCGATTCGCAGGCAAGCGTCTAGCCGCTAGACTTCGGCGGCTCCCACAGAAAATAAAGATACTATCAAACCATCAAGGTTGCAGGAACCTAAAAGCGTAGATCCCTCAAGTCAACCTCCTTACAAAAAAGGAATATCAATCGAACAGCGAGGCTGACCATCCCTTAGGAAATTTGTAAAGTTGCCAGAGCCCTTTCCCCCAAACAACTGTGTTTAGATGTTCTCACTTTAAGTATGTTTATAAATTCCGTATTATTTCAATTATATGATTATTTTTGTTTACCATCAATTAATCAATTATCATGTTCTTTACAAAACGTCGCCCTACGTGGCACTCCTGAAAGACTATTTTTCTTCAGTCTGTTCTCCAGCCCTGGTGGCTTTCCTAGCCAATGCATCTTGCATGTCCTGTATTCACATTGGAGAAGGTCGGCCTCTGCATCGTATTCAGGAAACTGCATTCTTCATCGTCGTTCCATCCAGATCACTACAGCGTTTGATATTTCCAAAATACCTCAGCTTTCGACAGAGGATTATGTTTATGAGCCAGTTCTACTTGATCTTCAGGTCCTGAAGGATGTCGACGTTTGTCTTTTTCTTGGTCCACAGTATTCTAAGAATGTACCTATAACATTTCAATTCGAAAGCCTTGATTTACGTTTTCAAAGACTGAGTGAGAGTCCATGCTCACATCTAAAGGTTTCCACGGAAGGCATTGACGATGCAAAAATTGTTACTATAACTTGCTTACACCTGCTACACCAATGGTACTGCATAATGTTTAGCCTCTTCATTGCTAAAGCAAGTATTTTTCTAACTTCTCTTGTGCAGTCGACATTTTTATTCAGTCGTTAACATGAAATATTTAAACATTTCTTTGAAACATATTTAATCTCCACCTTGTATTTTTTTTTTATATGTGGTAGTGTGCAGATTTATTAAAGACATAATTTTTTTTTTTTTTTTTCAGATTTACAAATAGAATGTCTTCTTTACTGTACTGTAATAAAAAAAAAGTTGAAAAAAAAAAAAAAACCGAATACAATTTGCACTATAAATACAGCATTTACAATAATGCAAATTAAAAATAATCTTATTACTGTTATACTACACACTTAAACGACGTTTTATGCCCGGCTCACTAGCGTAGCTGTCTAAACCGGACTGCACTGTGACCGGGTGACGAACTCCTTGTCCGGATTCACGCCCGGGGTAGGCAGAAAAGTCACATTTCTCCCAGATTTACGGTATTTATCATTTGATCAAGGCCGAAGGGTTGCGATATCCATAATACCGAGGGTAAGGGTTAACAACTATTGGCTCATTAAAAAAAAAAAAAACGAAGTTTACATCCCTTGGGATCCTAGACAAATGGTAAGGGGACTGAGCCCCCCCCCCCCCCCTTTTCCCCCTCTCTTTCCAGCCAGGCCATGGTTATATTTTTGGAAAACACCCAGCTAAATTCATCTGAAAGAATGATAAGGACACATTCTAAAGGGACATGTTAATTCAATTCTTAACACTTTGGAAGGCGGCTCTGGGGAAAAGATTCGTTATAAGTCAATCTCAGTTATGTGCGCGCTGCAGATTGTGAATGAATTAATGAATCAATCAATCAATCAATCAATCAATCAATTAATCAATCAAATCAATTTGTGTATGAATTACGAGTGAACGAATGAATGAAGAATTTACATTACTGTACTCGGGACATTCTCACTCGTCCCTTTCTTCAGTAACCAACGAAGAGCTGATATGCTAGTAGTACCGGTTGCAACCTCAATAAAAGTCCGCCTCCTTTTCCCCTTCATTGTTAAAAACCTTCTAGAACCTCTCCACACCCCGCGTTGAATTAATCTTTCAGTGTATGGATTCCCTATCTGTTATTTTACACTGTCCTTTTGATCCCATAGAGCCTTCACCACACCTGCTATATCACATGGTAGCTCACCGGAGCAGATTGTTAGCGAGCACACTATCAGTTAGCCGTACAAACACTTACATTACAAGCTTTCATGTAACGCACTGTTAGAATGTTAAACATTGACAGCAAATATTTATCACTGATCATTATAAACGGCATGCATTTAAAAGAATACCACGAGCAAAGATACGACAATTTTCACTTAGAAAGCAAGGGTCAAACAAACAAACAGTTTATGAGTTTATTTATGTATTTTTATACTGGCTTCTAATTAGATCTCTTTTTTAAAATAGCCTTCTCTTCGCGATCAACAAAAAATAATGAGCATCAAGTGATAGTGGTTGGCACCTTTCTTTCTTTCCAGACGATAGTGTTTTGTTGTGCTATGCTGGGGCATAGGACTCAAAGCTCATGGCAATGGCGAGAGTGACTAGCAAGACCCGCTCGCGTTAAGGAAAGTCTTTCACAATTATGGCATGAGATTTCAAGACTGTTGTTGTTAACACTTGTGTTTAGTCTATTTCTTCGCAGACGCTCAACTCTCATCCGTTCTGTAAACATTACTTCATTCATTCTCATTCCATTCCTGATGTGCCCCCTCCAGACATCACGACCCATGGCATTTTGTTTCCACGAGTCCACCTCAATACCTGTATCATTCGCGTCATGTTTGTACACATCTTTACGTCGTAGTAGAGGTCGTCTTCGACATATGCTACCTGTCTTTAATGCACTATAGAGGATGTCTTTGGGAATACAAATCATCAGGTAAAGTAAGAGGTGAGGGCGACCGGCGTACTGTTGACCACACCTCCTACTGAGATGTAAAAAATGTGTCTAACATTATTTTCCCAATGCGTCAGTAGCGTGAAAATTTTCCCTAACTTTACTGCACTGTCCTGAAAACTAGAGCAAATGGACCGAAGGCAGAGACTGACAGTAAAGGAACAGTGAGTATAAGTACAGTACAAGGGTAATTAATAGCGATGTCTAACAAGACAATTACCTGAAGGGTGAAGACGAATGATCTGATTTCAGTCCTGCTTTGTAGAAACTATAATAGTAAACCATAATAACGCAGTAACTAGCAGACTAATTTGTCGGCTCACTGGTACGATACTGTTACAGTTATCTCATACGATCGAAATCTTTGTCCACACCAATCGAAGAATGCTGACTTGCGTATAAAAAAAAATAGGATAACCACCATATACTTCCTGGCGTGAAAAAGGATTCCCCACTTACTACATTTTCATTTAAATTGATGCTAAGATAATGACAAATGGAACGTTTGACGCAAATCTAATCTGTAAAATCGCCGTCTTATCATCATCATAATCATCATCATCATCATCACAATCATCACCATCATTATTATCTTCATCTTCATTATAATCATCATCACCATCATTCAATGTCATGTGCCCATTTAACATTTGCAATATTGATGAGTTACCACAGAGTTGTCCAGTTTCTTTATTGCGGTTTCAGAAAGGTTTTATACGGCCTTATGTTTCATGGTGTTACCCAGTACACTCTTGCTTTCACTCGGCTACATTGTCCTTAACCATCCACCTTTCGGCCTTTTTTTTTTTTTATAAGCCCCAATTTCCCCATCCAAGCAAGCTTTTAGTAGAGAATACAGCTCTATAACTATATGCACAGTGCTTATCGCAATCAGTAACATGGTTCTCATCGCTGGTCATTAAAGAAGTCCTATTGTTTTTGTCTTTTGCCTTTTTGTCTTGTCTCTTGCTATGCGTTGTTTTGTCTTTTGCTGTGCATTGTTTTGTCCTTTCCTGTGCATTGTTTTGTCTTTTGCTGTGCATTGTTTTGTCTTTTGTTGTACAATGTTTTGTCTTTTGCTAGGCATCATTTTGTCTTTTGCTATGCAGTGTTTTGTCTTTTGCTATGCAGCATTTTGTCTTTTGCTATGCAGCGTTTTGTCATTTGTCGTGTAGTGGTTTGTCTTTTGCTACGCAGTGTTTTGTCTCTTGCTATGCAGTGTTTTTTTCTTTTACTGTGCACTGTTTTGTCTTTTGCTATGCAGTGTTATGTCTTTTGCTATGCATTGATGTGTCTTTTGCCGCGCTTTGTTTTGTCTTTTGCAGTGTAGTGGTTTGTCTTTTGCTGTGCAGTGTTATGTATTTTGCTATGCATTGTTTTGATTGTTTTGTCTTTTGCTATGCTGCGTTTTTTCTTTTGCTATGCAGCGTTTTGTCTCTTGCTATGCATTGTTTTGTCTTTTGCTGCGCAGTGTTATGTCTTTTGCTATGGAGTTTTTATTTTTTGTTCATTATGGAAAACCTGTGCGACATAATGTTTGAAAAAAAAAAAATCATACACAACATTCTGACACTTACATCAAAATATGATAAAACAATGTGACAAGAATCGGAAGAAGAAGAAAAAGAAAAAGACAAAGTAGAAGAAGAAAAAAAAAAGAAGAAGAAGAAGAGGTGACTACGAAAATTTTCCTAGTGCGTTATGCTTTTGCAAAAATGTCGCACACAAGATTTACGTTGATAGTAGTTAAATAGTAGATAATTTATGCATTTTACACATGAAATTCATTAGATTTACGCTAGAACAGATTTTATAATGAGAATACCATGATCGATCCGTTGTTACGCCATTTACTTCACGAAAGAACAACTGGGTACTTAAATTTCATAACACAAGGACGTCGACAGCAAAAAAATAATACCCCCCCCCCCCCCCCCCCCCCAACATGTAAAGTTTTTTTTGTAGCAGAAAAAAACTTGCAAGGACCTATCCAAAATGTATTTGATAATTACATTCTCAGGTATAAATGACAGGATAACATTTAATAAAAGGGAATAATCACTAATAACTAAAATAATGAGACCTAAAGGCAACATTCAGTAGGTAAATGAAACATACAATTGGTTTCAACAGATTTTAACGAAAATAGGGCAAACAAGGAAGGCTACTACACATTCATGCTAAAGCTAAAATATGATTACATTGTATTTTGTACTTTCCGCTCTTACCTCCCCGTTGAAAAAGCAGAAGATCAGGGCGACAAAGAACCCCTGCAAACAGATAATGAGAATATTGGGTAAATTAATAAACACAAAGATTAGGAACTTTAATTAAAGTAGGTGAAGTAAAGGACATTTATCATACTCTCAGTGGTGGGTGCTTCGAGCACGTGATTCTGCACTCATACTTTGCTAGTCCAGTCAGCACTTGTTGGGCCGCTTATCTTTATTTTTCTTCCTCTTACCGCATGGCGTTGGTAGTCATTTCTCGTCCTCAACCTTCTGTCTTGTGTACATTCAGTCAGTTCTGACACAGACGATCTTCCATGCCTTGACGTCAGCATCTTCTCTATCGGCCTGCCTTTGCTTCTTTTCTCCAACTTACCCACGGTCACGATGTACTCCAGTTTTCTTCTTTTCAAGACATTACCTAAGAATCTAGATCAGGGCTATTCAACTGGTGGCACACAGGCAACATTTGGCCAGCCAGTATCTAGCAAGTGGCCCGCAAATTATTGCCTGTTGTATTGCATTAACGATCTTTCTATGTTCAGGCTTGAGCCTCTGACCCGTGACAATTCCCATGTTCCAAATGTTGCTGCTTTATTAAAACTTATTTGAATAACCCAATCTATATAGTGTCTCTACTGATGCGGGCAGTCGGTACGCTTCCGTAGTCAGTTTCTGTCATGACATCTTCATTCCTTTAAAAAAAAAGGTTTTTCAAGGTCATTGTCATCATTCCTCTTTTAAAAACCACATCTCCTTTTCAAATAATATTCCACTAATCGCCCAACCGTCCATGTTTCACTTCTATATCAGGATAGGATTTGTACAGCTCTTGAGTATGTTTTCCTATGTCCCAACTGACAAAGAATGACTGCATAGAATATTCCTAATTTTTGAAGAATGCTGCTTTTGCTTGGGCTATTCTACATTTAAATTCTTTATTAGGCTACCTTCACTCCCTGGATATTATTACCCGGAGCCTAGGATGGGTCAACCCAATGCTATTTTTTTTTTTAAATCCGTGTGGTGGTGATTCAAACATAAGGACTTCGACAACACGATTACACTGCTTTCATTGTTACTGGCAGAGCAGTTTTTATCGGCGATTCTATAGAGAGGGAGTAAAATGATAAAACATACAATTCCTGACACTTACATTTTACAGTAATGAGAAATTAGGCCGACTTAAAAACTCTCAACACATAAATTTTAAATAAACGAGAGAGGACTGAATCTCTTTTTTTTTTTTAAAGTATATACACCCCGATTCAACCAAGAGCCATTTGGTCCATTGCTAGCTTTCATTCAATCATATATTATCAAGCCTATGGTGTCTCCAAATTCTTTGTCTTTACCATAATTTTAGCTGATTACTTGCGTGTTCTGTCTTGAACACGAACGTTATTATTGTTCTTTATTGTAATTTTTTTTAAAGATTAATATGGCAGATTAATATTAGCTTGTGAGATATTTTGGTGTTTATTGGTTAGACATTAACTGATGTTTAGAACCTGAAGACTGCTAGTAATCTTCTTTTCTTGTTCAATTGTTTAAAAAAAAAATAATTCGTGCACTACACTTTTCACATGAATACACATGGAAGCAGTGTTAATTGTCTCATATGTGACATATTAGTGAAGAAACAAATTATGCTAAACGGAGTATGAAAATACACTAATAGAAGGGCAAACAAAATAAAATAAAATCGTTTAAAATAATCCTCCCTCCCACTTCCCCCCCCCCCTCTCTTTACCCAAAAAAAAAAACCACATTCATACACATGCGCATACACACACACTCACACACACACACACTCACACATACTCTCTCTCTCTCTCTCTCTCTCTCTCTCTCTATATATATATATATATATATATATATATATATATATATATATATATACATTGTTTACAATAACCGTATGCCTTGAACTAGAATACAGTACACTTTTGATTTTCTAATCAATTAGAAACACTGTCATGTATTTTACTCAACGGGAAAGTGTCGGCTGACTGTAGTCTAGAAAAAAATGACATCTCTAAACATAAACCCCACTCCTCAACGTCATTTTAAAGACCAAACACCCTGGCCTGCCCAGAATTAATACAGGCCGCTTCCTCGCCTCCATAAACTCCATTTCAGAGAAACCAACCGTAGAATAATCATTACCCACCCCAGCCGTGCCAGAGCCATAACCCGTCATAGTATGGCTCTTGTGAATGTTTTACTAGTGGCAGACTTTGGAAACAAGTTTTATGATAGACCGACACTTTAGATAAGCCGGCATAAACATTGCTGTAACTGAGACCTGGCGTATTCACACACAAATACTTTATAGGTCTCTGGTTTTATAACACAGTAGTTTTATGTTCGCCTTAATGCTCTGTTATTTTTGTTTGTGATTTGGTAATGTGAAGCTGTTATGTATTCAAACAGGTGTATGAAAGTAACAAACATATTGTAAATCAGATGATGCAAAAATAGTTACTGCAGTCGAGCTGATATCATATTACTGCAATAAAATATTGTTCTGGGTATCAAAGCAACCACCTCCCCTGGCATATCGCCTAATTGAAAGTTTCGGCGTTAATTTGTGTTTATTGTTTTAAACTTTTATGCCCGCCTTCTTTTCTATATTTTTTTTTTAGTGTTTTGTTTAGTTATTGCTCTTTTTGTTCTTGCTTTCTCCTATTATATATCTATGTTACATGCCAACCAATCTTGCAGCTGTTTATATAGTCTGTTGTTTTGTCCATTGATAAATCTACAGTTGAAATATTCAGTAGTTTCTGTGCTGTGTCTATCTCCTTCCCTCCGCTGAGCATTCTAGGCTCTGTGTCTGTTGCGTTTACATTGTAACTCCATAAGAAGCCGTCTTCACTGTGAAAATTGGCTCTATTAATCTGATACCCGCAATGTGCACTGTTCCAGATTGATGCTGTTCATGTCTACATGTTTCGCCTCCACTTTGAATTTTTTTCTAACCTTAAGGATTTATGCAGGCATTCTCTATTTGAACTTATACATGGAACCACTAAAACAAACGCAGACACAACAAATATCAGAATGCGTCAGGTCAAGTTGATAATTCGTCTTTTTCTCCATTAAGTTCCGTCTGGCTGATTGTTTCTGTGTCTGTATTCCCCTACAGGGTGCTATCTTTAAGAGTCGCAACCTGAATGACAATGCAACAGAACAAACCCCAGAGACCTCGTCCAACTTTCAAGGAACTAACGACAGAATAAACTTTATTTTTCAAAGTGTTAGGAATGGGCACGCAGGCCTGTCTGATATTCTGCCCTTCTAATCTCCCTCGTTTCATACATCGTTTCATTTATAAATATTTAAACAGGTAATAATAATCAGCTAAATAATAATTACTAGCATTGGAAATCTGCTCGAATAACGCCAACATTTCTGAGCTTGGTAAACAGTAGTAAAAATACGCTAAGTGTCAATACGTTTATCTTTTATGGATAGAAAGGAAAGGGAGGGGGGAGGGGAGGGTGAAAGCATGCAATCTGTGTTTAGATAAGATGCAATCAGGCTCCAATTGCATGTATAGGGACTAGTAGTAACTTTGGTTTGTTGTGAAAGATGGTTGCACAGCTGAGCCGCGGAGTGAGCACCCATGACAAGTGGTTTAGCTTGCTGTCCTGTGTAAGACAGGGGTAAAAGCTGTTAAATGATATATAATTTAACGTTAGCAACGAAACAGGTGCGACAGAGAATACAGTTAACGTCTGTTCATAAATTAACGCATACTCTGAAATGTTACATTATGGTTAGTTATAAATAACGTATAAAATAAAAGTGCTGCATAAAGCTGCCCACAGCTGATTTGTCAATAGAGATTTGATAACTGTTTTCATTGGTTAGGAAAATCTCGTTAAGTTAACAAACACGAAAGCCATGTCAGGATGTACTATGAGTTTAACCCCCCAACCCATTCCCACAGAGAGCACTTGAGTTCGTTGCCCAACATGCCACAACAATTCTTATCGCCGATCATTTGGATCTCAAAGCGTGAGCTGGACGGTCCGGTTATATGGTATTTACGTACACCGGAGCTTAGCTATCAACACAACCCGATCACATAATAACAAATGACGACTGGACCCGCTTAAGACTCCACACAAACTCTCACACACATATCCATTACATGACTAACCCGTTCATATTACAGGAAGACAACTATAAGACCACTATGGTCACACGCGAAAATTTTCATATCTCGGAACTATTCACATTCAAAAACTGTTTTCAGTACTTTTTGGCAAAATTAAAATACTCAAAATTTTAAAACAATAAATGGTGGCCGAAAGGTCGTTGTGTTTGGAAGCTCGCTCTCCTTCGAGATACGCCTAGCCAGATCAAAGGGAGACAGAACAAACAGGAAACACCAAGAATGAAGAAGGAAGACATGCACCAATGACATCAGGACGAGCGGTTTGATTCGGATGGAAACATTAAGCCAGAAATGGCACAAACACCAGTATTCAGTCACGAAAGTGACGCAAATAACCCAGACCACAAATATAGGCGGAGACTGTTAGCAGCCTAGGCTAGCTAGCAGCAGTCTGAACGTGGTCGAGCTTTTCTTTTTTTTCTCAAAAGGACTTGGACTTGGACAGCCATGTCAGTTTAGTATAAAGTTTACAAAAGAGCTTCAGCTCTGCGGTATTTCTTGAACCACTATTCTAAATTATGTATAAGCAAAGCAAATCCCACCTAATCGCCTATAACACTTGATTTATGCCGTCAGAGATAAGGATACATGGGCACCTAATGTTCTCAAATACACGAGCTTACAGCGAGAACAACTTAGTTGAACCAGCCAGTAATAATGAATGATTAACTCAGTGTATTTAATGTACATAATTCAGCATATGCCACTGTGTTAGAAAGCCAATGATAGAAGAAAATAGACACACACCTATCATGATTATATATATTTATTTATAGTCAATCTTCTAAACAGATTAATCTTAAGTATTATGTATTTGTTTTTAAAAAAATATTATTAATTAAGATTTACTTTG